CTGCAGAACAGAGTCAAGCTGATCATTTTTCAGAGCCATAACTTCTCAGTGAGAGTTTTAACAGTCTGAACTTGTAAGAAGCTGAGCCAAACAACAACAACAATAAAAACAAAACAAAAAACGGAACTACTCTTTTGCTAGAGAAAATGAAAGTGTAGCAACCAGGAAGCAAAACTAGGCACAGATAGCACAGATGAGAGAACCCATTGAGTTGAACTCTATTTAGTCTGGATAAATATTTGTTGAGGGAGCATGTAAATAAAGGAGAGAAAGAATAACAATAGTACATGCACAAGGGAAAGAGCAAGTGGCCCAGGCAAGGTCACTTTAGCAGGTTAAAAACAAATAACTTCACTATTGTTTTCATTTAAAGCTTCTTTTTATTTCATGCTGTTTACCTTTAGATATTTACATTGTGGAAAGGGTAAAGGGGTCATAACCTTCATTTTCTATTCTTACACATCTGAGCCTCTTTGCAAGTATCCTCAGTGCATTGAACAGAGTGGCCCTTTAATTCCTGCAGGGCCTTCCAAGTTGATATAAAAGAGACCTAAAAACAGATTTCCTGTTTCTATACTGGGAGAAAGCAAGGCCTGGAAATGGAGAAATTTGCCCAGGGTCACTCAGCACTTTCTTATCTGGTCATTTTCTACTGCTCATATTAGAGTTTAATGTCAGTTCTTTTAAAGTGGAGATACACTGAACATGCATATATTGAAAAACAATCAAATGCATATGGATGTCTCACAGGTCTTGGACACTGAATTCCTAAAAGAAATGAGAAATAAAACTGAGAAGTGATAGTTGTACCACACAGGAAAGAAAATCAGATAACATGCAGAGAAGACATATAATTCTTCACATCTGTTCAGCCCTTTCTTTGGAAGTGATATAGCCCTTTGAGTTCACGGTCCCCACCGGCCCCTCAGAGGGTGACCTGAAGACATTCCACCCCTTTATTGATTTCCCAGAGATAGAAAATTCTCCAGAGATAGTGAAGGCCCACTCAAAGATTTTACCCAGCTTTTGTATTCCAATGATCACCTTCCCAACATCTCACAGGTGGAAAGACCCATAGAAGGAAGAAGAAAGCACATGCCTCAGTCCTCTTCACTGAGTACAAAGTTCATTCATTTACCAATACCCACTGTGTGTCAGACACCATACCAAGCATGTAGAGGCTCCTACCCTGGTGAAGCTTAAATATTTTGATGCATTCTAGACTATTTTTATGTAACCAAAGAATGAGACATTGACAACCAGTATCTTCCTTTGTATCTTCGAAGTTACCAAATTGCCATCATTGAAAACTCAGTCTCATAACTCCAAAGCATGAAAACATCTTTCATAAAACCTGGTTAATGTGGCAACATCCAGGGCTCTTTCTCAATCTCCTGTGAACAGCAATCCTTGCAGTCCTATGACAGACACTACCCGCCAATCAAATCGTCCACAGAGCCAGTCATTCAGCAGTATTATGAGTGTGTTATGAGAGAATGCAGACACACACAACAAAGCAAAACAGCACTTTCAACAACTTTTATCACTCTAATGGGGATTCTAGCTATTTCTTCAACTTTCTTGATCATAAGACTCCCCGTGGGATGTGTGGTAAAAGTGGAGAGTCATGGTACCATATGACTCTTAGGATTCAGACCTGTCAAGGTCACTCGTTTCTGATAAGTCCAGAAATTCTGACAAATGCTTCTTGTACTCCTTCTGCCATTGAAGAAAAAAAATCTCCAGAAATACAACTCAGAGTTTTCTGTTGCAAGGAATATTTGGAAGTAGAAAATACTAAAAGATGTTTAATGAGCAGGATGATGATGGCTGGATCACCAAGGCAAGACAGGGTGGGAGAGGGGTATGGGGAACTGAGACCCAAGCAGGGAGTGGGAAGGGCAAAGGAGCACTCCAATGAAGGTCAGGGAGTGGGGAGGTAAGTCAGAGGCCAACAGCTCTGGAGACAACAGCTCTGGAGACAGCAGCTCAGTTTGACCCACAGCCAGCCTTACCCACATATGCATATTTTCTGGCATAATGCAGAGCTAGTTAGACCAAACCTGCCTAGCCTCAGGCTACTCATAAACAGAAGGTCTTGCTTCATGCCCACGACTGACACCACCAGGGACTGAGTCAGCCTCAATAATACACAGTAGGCTGTTCAGAGATTGTGAAGGAACCTAAGCTCCTCCGTGGCTCTGACACAAGTTGTCCCTACTGCTGCAGCATGAGGAAAATTGATCAGAAGATGTTCACAAAGGTTTCTGTCAATAGTGCTAAGGCTGCCTTTATCAGAAATTCCCATCTTCTCAGCTCTGAAACAGCCTTTTAGGTGACAAGAATATTCAATGCTTTGGTTTGTAGTCTCCAAGAGCCACAAACAACTTAATAATTCCCAAGCTTTACGACCTGGAGAAACCAATTAAAGAGGAGCATGCCTCATCTTAAAAACAAAATAAGAGACAATTTTAATTAGTCAACTTTTGAAAAAAATGCATACACATGCCTGTAAAGCTCTGGCATAAAAATCTTTGGAATCCAAAAGGAGTGAAATTTGTTGTTCATGAAGCCCCCAAATACACCCATTGTCCTTTACATTGAATCATCTGAAAACAACTTTACATGCAACATCTCAATACTGGGAATGATACAGTGGAGTAGAAATGATTATTCCCAATTTATAAAAGATGAAACAGGTTCAGAATGGTTATGTGACTCAAATGGGAAGCTGTGATTTAGTCAATTTGGTATATTCTGATTCCAAAGAAAGAGACACACCTGCAACACAATGTGTTGGATTCCCCAGAAATATTAATGAGAGTATTCTGACAACTGCTGTCTCCCATGAAAGTAGGTAACTTGTTTTATGTGTCTTTGCCTCCCTAGGTCCTAGCACAGAGCTTGGAAAATGTTTGATGTATGAATGAATGATTTTAATTATTGTATCTCTGCCTGACCCCTAAGAACAATTCTTTACTTTAAAGCTTTTGTTTGATCCTCCTAGAGCATCTCTTTTTAGGGTTTCATTCCCACCAAATCATTCGGCATCCAAGCTGGGAGCCAATGTGCCTCTCCTCTTTTTCCCACATGCAATCCAGTTCTATAACATCTAATCTCTCAAAAGATCTTTTGTTGCATTTCAGAGATGTGTCCCTTGAGACAGGAGTAGACACCTAAGTCAGGCCACCAGAATGTTCTAATTTTGTGGCAAGGACAAGTAGGCAATTAGATGAGTCACTGGGCAATGGGGTGATGTCTGAGCGACTCTGTCAGATCTCAGGTGGGTGGTAGTTGTGTATAATTGAGAATCGGCTGCAATGTAATGCCTCAGCTTGCCTGAAAGAAATCCCTTCTGGGTGGTGGGTCCAAGAAACTGATTTTGCCTGTGAATCTCAGAAAGGGAGAGAGAAGTGTCTTAGTCCCTCCTTCCAGTGCTCATGGAGACCATTAGTGGAAACAGGCAAGCTTCCCCTGAAGGCCCATCCCTTGTGAGGGGTTCAGCAGCTACAGCCAGACACCTGGACTTATTTCTGCCAATTTCCAGATCCATCACTTTTGGCTAATGGCAGGACTTTTCTGAGCCTCAGTTTTCCACATGTGCTTATAAAGGGGGAAAGGGGAGTATAATGCTACTTCTGCCATTGGGTAGTCATGAAATTTAAAAAAATATATTTCACGTAGAAAAGTTTATAGCCCAGTGCCTGGCACATTATGTGCTTCTGAGGAAGTTAGTTATTATTATGACATTTTCCATACTTAAACCATCTTTTTTTTTATTTAAATGGATTATCGGATTTAGATCAGCTACTTATCATGTAGACAACATTTAACAGTGTATGTGAGACATTCTTGCTGTTTATAGGCTTACAGGACATGAGCTAGAGCAATGATCTCTGAGCACTTCCAGATAACACCTCTCTAGGAAAGAGGAAGCAGAGGCTTAAGGTGGCACTGTCCAGGACCACATGGGTGAATTAGAACTCAGATCTCCTCATGCCTCATCCCTGCTTGCTCTCTTCCTGTCCTGGCTCACATTGTCTCTTTAATGTCCAAATAAATATCACTTTGAAACCTAAACATTTTATTGCAAGCAGTAGGAACAGACCAAGAATAGTGTACATGGCTTTTCAGTCTTTGAATTAGAAAAAAAAATGTTCTTATTCTTATAAATCTAGGAATTAAGCTCTTTTTTTAAATAAATTTCAGGCAAAGTAAAAAAAAATCATAGACAAGGGGCTGTTTAAGTAATGTTTGGGGTTGGGCTTGCTCATGTGTCTTAAGTTTCCATTGAGAGATCTTGTTTAGTCCAATATTTCAGAAAAAGAACTTCCTTACTTGATGACATGATGTGTGTGTTGGGGGAATTCCCTTGTATTGATTCTTCACTGAGAAAAATGTAATTGTGAGAATCTTTAGATGCCATGTCTTCTTATCACACCCAAGTGTGACCTGAAGTACAATTGTCTGGCAGAGAGGAGTCTCAGCTGTAGACCTCAGGGCATGCGGGTCATCTGTCCCAGAATGGAGATGATATCTCCATGGTGACAGCTGCTATGCCTGGCTCCTTTACTACTGCATTTCCACAGCCTGTAGCACCTTGGTAGACCCAACACACCCTTTACTGCCTTCCCATGTATACTCCAGTTCTGTAATATCTAAGCTCTCCAAACTTCTCCTGTTGCATCTCAGAGATGTGAGCAGGAATCTAGGTCAGGCCACCAGAATGTTCTAGTACTCTGGCCTTAGAAGATAGGCAATTAGATGAGTTTCATTCTGGTGGGCGAGTCTCATGATGGGGGATAAGTGCTGTTGCTACGATTGCTTGGAGGCAAGTTGTAAATGGAGATGCTTATTAAACTTTTGATCTCTTCATAGGGTTTAATAGTTCAACAGGAACTTAACAGCAAAACAAACACATAAACTTGGCCCACCAAGGCTGGACTCTGACCTCTATCTGCTGAGTTTGTTTTCCTGCTTTTGCAGATCTCAGTAGCGTAATCGCTTGTGTAAGCCACTCCAGTCTGTTTCTCGGTGCCTTGCTGTCTTCTAGGAATTCACACAATAAACAGGTTTTGGAGGAAGGCCAGCACGTTCTCAGACTTCCTTCTCTCTGGTTGTTATTCAGAATTCAGGTCAGTGTCTATCTCCAGATCTTCCTATCAGTGGTTACTGGATTTCAGCTTTGGTTTTCTCTCTGGAACAGAGCACAAACATTGTAACTGGGTCACTCTCTGACTTCAGTTCCCTTCTTGTGTCATAGCGAAAGGTGATCAGTTTGCCTTTTGCAACAGGTGGAATTGGCCTGGAGCCCAGAAAGCGGAGCAAAGGTGCCATCGGGAAGGGGTTCAGTTCAAATGAGGAAAACAAAGCAAAACGTAATGGCAGGTGGTCGCTTTGGGCTCCAGGAGACATGGATCCCAGTATGGGAAAAAAATAATAAGTCTGTCTAGTCATGCCACAGTGATTTGGTCCTTCCTTTCATGGACAAAACTGATCCTGTACCAGGTGCAGTGGCGCACACCTGTAACCCCAGCGGCTTGAGGCAGGAGGTTTGTGAGTTCAAAGCCAGCCTCAGGAATTTTGTGAGGTCCTAAGCAACTCAATGAGACCCTGTCTCTAAATGAAATATAAAATAGGGCTGGGGATGTGGCTCAGTAGCTGGGTGCTCCTGAGTTTAATGGTAAAAAAAAAAAAATCCTGTGGCGAATTCAAAGGTCAGATTCAGATCCCAGATGAAATGAGAGATGAGGCACAGACAAAATGAGTGGAGATTTCCAGAGATTGCAAAGGTGACCTTGTTTCTGACAATGATGTTTTGGTTTTATTATCTCTCATCTCATTGCCCCAACCCTGCCATTTCTGGCTGGAGGCTAGATGTGTTGGGACAAAGTTACCTCCGTGTCCCCTGGAGCTCAGTTCCTAATTCAAAACATTCACACCATTTCCAAGAGCCTCTTATATGCCAAGTACTGTTCTAGTTGCTCAGGGACCCAAACAATAACGGAGCTTATGGAATTGCAAGTAGTGATTAATGATATGAAAAAATATATAGAGAGAGACAGAGGGAGGGAGGAGAGTGGCTGGTTGGGGTGATTTCCTTTAGCTGAGGATCAGGGAGGGCCACTGCTAAGGACAGCTTATGAGCTGAAATGGGAGCCATGACAAGCCAGCCCCAAGAGGGCCAGCCACAGAGCTTCCCCCTTTAGGAAAGCAGGTGCAGAGCTCAGAGATAGAAAGTAGCTTGGCAGAGTGCCCCAGGCAGAAGGAAATGAAGAGAAGAAAGGAGCTGGAAGGGAAGATAGAAGACCAACACTAGCCAGCCAAGCCCCCGGCATGAGCAGGGCCCTGAGTTCCTCAAATTCAAATCAGCTCATTGAATTTCTGTCCATGAAGTTGATCTCTGACATGTCACAGAAAATAACTGGTTACTGAGGCCTAAAGATGAACTAAGAGAGAAAATAAAGTATAGGGAATTCTTACTGCTCTTTTGTTATCTGTGGACATTAAAAATGGAACCAAGAATGAAAACAAACCTTAAAACTGATACATCTAAAGATTCTGGCGAATTCCTAGGTCTGCCTGTTTTACTAAAATTGAGGAAATACAAAGCTGGGTCTGGAATAAAAGGATCTGATTTTTTTTTTTTATGCTGCTTTAAAGTGGTAAGATAGTTTCTCAGGAAAGACATGGGCTTAGTCATGCTCTGCCCCTTAATTGTTGTGTGACTGTGAATAAATTACTTAATCTCTCTGCTATAGTTTCAGTCTTACACGTATCCCAAAGGCTAATTTTTTAAAGGTTTGGTCCTTAGTTTGGTCTATTGTGAGGTGTGGAAACTTAAAGAGGTGGGGCCTAGTAGGAGGTCTTTGGGTCATTGAGGGTGAACCATTGAAAAGGAGAGTGGCCCTTCCCCCTTACTGACTTTGCTTCCTGTCCAAGATGTGAGCAGTTTTTCTCTGCTGTGCACTCCGTATCAGTGCCTTCTGGCATTACCACCAGAAGCTTAAGTTGTTGGTTAGCCTGATCATTTACTGGAAACTCTAAAACCATAAGCCAAAATAATCCTTTTCTCTTTAGAAGCCAATAATAGCAATAGAAAGCCACTATCACACTCTCTGAGCTTGTAACCTGTCTTGTAAAATCCTTACCTGGATACTTTATGAGGATTCACTGACATAATCATGAAGGTCAGCTAGCTTTAGGGTTAGCTCTTTCCTTCTCCCTGCCCTGCCATAGAGACAGTGAGAGAATGAATATCAAAGAGAAGACAAATGCTATTTAACAGAGAAGAAAAGTTGGAAATGAAGGCAGGGATTTGGTTTATTCCCAGAGCTGTGCATAGAATATAGCACTTGCTCAATAAACACTCCTTCAGTAGTTAAGTTCTTCAAGTGCCAGAACTTTAGGAGCACTTTTAAGAGCCAATTTCAGTTGGGGTCTATGTTAGTTCCCCACATTGTTGGTTGATGGCTGTGGCTCTTCCTCTGGTTTACAGTCCAGCCAGAAAGCAATAGAAGCACAGGGGGTAAAGAAGACATTAATCTGTACCCTATGGGAGACCTAATGCCTTAAAGTTATCCACAAAGCCAGAGAATGCTTTGATACTTGTCTGGATGAACTTTCCACCTTTCAAATAATTCATTTTCCCTATTTATACAAAATTCAGACAATATAGAAGGATAGGGAAAAATCAACACCCCATACTCAGAAATAAGTTGACATTTTCCTACTTTATTTGTTTAAAGTATATATTTAGACATCATTGGGATTCTAAAATGACCTCAGTCATATAGTCTGTCCTTTTTAATTATTCTACAGGAAGCTAAAAGGTTCTTCATCAACATAACTTCTATGGCCCTAAAATAGTCCAGATTATGGAATGCATAATGAATACTTGCTTCCCATGATGACCCTGGGGGGGAAGGAGAAACAGAGCATAGAGAGTGTGACAGGAGATCATGTCTGGGAAGGACCCAAGACATGCCTCAGCTACCTCCACCAAGCAGTTGTCTCTTCTTGGTCTCCATCACCACCCGCAGGAGCTGAGTGTACAGGGGCATGCTTTCAGTCAAGCCTAGGCCCATTGTCCTGACAGCCATTGGACCTCAAACTCCTAATGGATGGAAGGGCCAGCAGAGGAGAACAAGGAATCCAGAGGCTGCTGGCTGGGTCTGTGCACAGGGACTTGTGTATCTGGACTGGGGGAGACTAGAGTCTTCCAATGACTTCAGGTAGGCCACTTCTCTCACTTGACATCAGAATGCATTTCCAGTGATTTGAATGTGGTTTGAGCGTGTCCCCCAAGGGTTCATGTGTTGGAGACTTCATCCCCAATGGGGCAATGTTGGGAGTCAGTGGGACTTTTAAGAGGTGGGGGGTCATTAAGGAGGCTTCCCTTGGACCCTGGTTCATTCTCAAGAAGACATTGTTATAAAAGTACACAACTGTCCCCTCCCACTTCTCTCTGGCTTCCAGTCTCACTATGTGATCTCTCCATCCCACGTATGTTCTATCCACCACAAAGCCCTCTCCAGAGCCTACATGATACTATTTGGACTTTAAGTCTACAAAATCATGAATTAATAAATACCCTGGAGAACGGACTAAGACAGAACCCAAGTTTAGTTCTTTCAACTTGGAGTTTCACAAGAGCAAAAAGTAAAGATATCCATCTCTGGAATGAGATCTTGTCAAGATTGGGCAGATGGCTGATTTTCTTTTCTCTCCCACCCACGCCTAGCTGTCTCTCCACTCCAGGGGAAGACAGAGGCTTTATAAGCTGCCTCGCCCCCACTCAGCTCAGACAGGAGTGCATAAATGATAACACTGGTCGCCCTGTACCCAAGTCTGGTTTTGCATCTATTGCATAGAGGCTAGGAATGCTGCACTTTCCTTCTTTGGTGCTGAGCAGATCTTTGGGATCAGAGCAGCTCCTCAAAAATGTTCGTTACTCTTTATTTGTTAGTAGAAAAAGAAACCAGAAATTTTTATTTTTTGAAGTAAACACTGTACAAATACATTGAGGACTGTGACCTTTAGGGTCACATAATTATTACAGACCCACTGACATTGTTCACAGTTTCACAAAACATCACTTGGAAAGATCTTCAGTGGCAAATTCTAAACTCTGCCTGAGAACAACATGATAACTCTCTTGGCACAGTCGCTGTTTGGACTATTGCAGGGTTGCTTGGTTTGATACCTCATCGTTCACCCAATTTGGCTCCACACAGAGACTGGTGGTTTCTAGAAGCGAAAGTTTGAGAACATGCTGGTATGTAAATTATTCTGTTGCAGGTTTTCTGGGAATGCCCAGAGTATTCTGAGTACCAGAGGCAGTGCTGGGTGGATGGGAAATTTCCCATCCAATCTGCTGGGAAGAAACCCAGGGCCAGAGCTCTGGATCAGCAGGGGCGGCTTGATGGTCACATCAGCCCCAGAGAACACACAATTTGCCTGCAACCTAATAACCAATTTCTGCCATCCCCTAAATCATTGCCAACCATCTCTACCTATTTGCTCTAGGAAGAGTAATAGAATCAAATGGGCAACTGCTCTGTCTTTGTTGAGCTAAACAAAACATAATAGTTATACTCAGCCCAGGGCCAGGCAAGAAATGGTTGCAACACAAGACTTATTGCTCTTAATGAAATCCCAAGGAAAGTGTCCAGGACATTCCCTTAGGAAAAAGTAATTTCAACAGGAAGTGCCTTCTTGGTATTGTAAATCAGAGAATGTCTCTCTAACTTAAAGCTTTTTTCCTTTGATAGAAACAAAAGTCTTTAACAAAATTGTAGGAGGAAAATTTTAAGTACTACAACATGCTGTGGACTGAATTTTGTCGCCCCCCCCCCTACCAGCTGAGTTGAAATCCTCACCATGAGTACCTAAGAATATGATTATATTTGGGCTTAAGGTCTTTAAAGAGGTAAAGTTAAAATGAGGTACAGAGGTTGGGCCCTAATCCAACATGACTTGTATTCTCATAAGAGGAGATTTGGACACAAGATACTTATAGGGAGAAGGTGGGGATCTATAAGCCAAAGAGAGAGGCCTCAGGAGAAATCAACCTTGATCTCAGAATTGGGAGACAATGCACTGCTGTTTTTAAGCCATCTGTGCTACTCTGTTGTGACAGCCCTAGAAACTAATGCGCCAGCTAATATGTAAATGGCATGTTTTTTTAATTAAATTATTTATTTATTCTAATTTGTTATGCACAATGGCAGAATGCAATTCATTTCCTATTACACATAAAGAGCACAATTTTTCAAGTCAGTAATTGTTTACAAAATATTTTCTCACCATTCGTGTCTTCATACATGTACTTAGGGTAATGATGTCCAACTCATTCCACCATTATTCCTACCCCTTTACCCCCTTCCTTCCCCTCCCTCCCCTTTGCCCTATCTAAAGCCCCTCCATTCCTCCCATGCTCCCCGCCCAATCATCATTATGAGTCAGCATCCTCATATCAAAGAAAACATTCAGCCTTTGGTTTTTTGGGGATTGGCTTACTTCACTTAGCATTATCTTCTCTAACTCCATCCATTTACCTGCAAATTTCATGATTTTATTCTCTTTTAATGCTGAATAATGTTCCAGTGTGTATATATACCAAAGTTTCCCTACCCATTCATCTACTGAAGGGCATCTGGGTTGTTTCCACAATTTAGCTATTGTGAATTGTGCGGCTATAAATATTGATATGGCTGTGTCCCTGTAGTATGCTGCTTTTAAGTCCTTTGGGTATAGACCTAGGAGTGGGATAGCTAGGTCAAATGGTGGTTCTATCCCAAGTTTTCCAAGGAATCTTCATACTGCTTTCCAGAGTGGTTGCACCAATTTGCAGTCCCACCAACAATGTATGAGTTTGCCTTTTCCCCCATATCCTCACCAACACTTATTATTGTTTGTATTTTTGATAGTGGCCATTCTGGCTGGAATGAGATGAAATCTCAATGTAGTTTTGATTTACATTTCTTCAATTGCTAGAGATGTTGAACATTTTTTCATGCTTGTTAATTGATTGTATATCCTCTTCTGAGAAGTGTCTGTTGAGTTCCTTGGCCTATTTATTGATTGGGTTATTGGTGGGGGGGAGGTTGGTGTTAAGGTTTCGTAGTGCTTTACATATTCTAGAGATTAGTGCTCTATCTGATGTCCTTGAGGTAAAGATCTGCTCTCATTGTGTAGGCTCTCTGTTCACCTCACTGATTGTTTCTTTTTGCTGAGAAGAAGCTTTTTAGTTTGAATCTATCCCATTTACTGATTCCTGGTTTTAATTCTTGCACTATAGAAGTCTTATTAAAGAAGTTGGGGCCTAATCCGACATGATGGAGATTTGGGTCTACTTTTTCTCGATTAGGTGCAAGATCTCCAATTTAATTCCAAGGTCCTTGATCCACTTTGAGTTGAGTTTTGTGCATGGTGAGAGATAGAGGTTTAATTTCATTTTCTTACATGTGGATTTCCAGTTTTCCCAGCACCATTTGTTGAAGAGGCTATCTTTTCTCCAATATATATTTTTTGGCACCTTTGTCTAACATAACTGTCGTTATATGGGTTAGTCTCTGTGTCCTCTATTCTGTACCATTTATCTACAAGTCTATTTTGGTGTCAATATCATGCTGTTTTTGTTACTATTGCTCTGTGGTATAGTTTAAGAATAGTAATGCCACCAGCTTCACTCTTCTTTCTAAGGATTGCTTTGGCTATTCTGGGCCTCTTATTTTTCCAGATGAATTTCATGATTGCCTTTTCTATTTCTATGAGGAATGTCATTGGGGTTTTGATTGAGATTGCATTAAATCTGTATAGTGCTTTTGGTAATGTGGTCATTTTGATAATATTAATTCTGCCTATCCAAGAACAAGGTAGATATTTTCATCTTCTAAGGACTTCTTTAATTTCTTTCTTTAGCATGCTGTAATTTTCATTATAGAGGTCTTTCATCTCTTTCATGAAGTTGATTCCCATTTTTTTTTTGAGGCTATTATAAATGGAGTGGTTTTCCTAGTTTCCCTTTCAGAGGATTTGTCACTGATGTACATAAATGCCTTTTATTTATGGATGCTGATTTATATCCAGCTACTTTGCTGAATTCATTTATTAGTCCTAGGAGATTTCTGGTGGACTGTTTTGGGTCTTCTAGGTATAGAATCATATCATCTTCAAATAGTGATAATTAGAATTCTTATTTTCCTGTCCATAACCCTTTAATTTCTTTCATCTGTCTGATTGCTCTGTCTAGAGTTTCAAAAACTATGTTAAGTAGAAGTGGTGAAAGAGGGCATTCCTGTCTTCTCAAAGCCTTAGAAAAAGAACAAATCAACCCCCAAAGCAGTAGAAGACAGAAAATAATTAAAATCAGAGCCGAAATCAATGAAATGAAAACAAAAGAAACAATTGAAAAAATTGACAAAACAAAAAGTAGGTTCTTTGAAAAAATAAGTAAAATTGATAAACCATTAGCCATGCTAATGAAGAGGAGAGAAAAAAACTCAAATTACTATCATCTGTGATAAAAAAAAGAAATATTACAACAGACACTACAGAAATACAGAAGAGAATTAGAAATTATTTTGAAAATTTGTACTCCAATAAAATAAAAAAATATTTAAGGCATCAACAAATTTCTAGAAGCATATGATATGCCCAAACTAAATTAGGATGATACACACAATTTATTTTATTTTTGGTGGTGCTGGGGATCGAACCCAGGGCCTTGTGCAAGCAGGCAAACACTGTATCAACTGAGCTATATCCCCTGCCCCTGATATACACAATTTAAACATAGATTTCAAGTAAGGGAATAGAGGACACCATCAGAAGTCTACCAACCAAGAAAAGCCCAGGACTGGATAAATACACAGCTGAGTTCTACAAGACCTTTAAAGAAGAACTAACATAATACTTCTCAAACTATTTTATGAAATAGAAAAAGAGGGAACATTTTCAAACACATTCTGTGAGGTCAATATCATCCTTATTCCAAAACCAGACTAGGACAAACCAAAGAAAGAAAACTTCAGACCAATATCTCTAATGAATATAGATGCAAAAATTCTCAATAAAATTCTGGCAAATTGATTACAAAAACATATCTAAAAGATAGTGCACCATGATCAGTAGGGTTCATCCAGCGATGTAAGTTTGGTTCAACATACGGAAATCAATAAATGTAATTCATCACATCAATAGATTTAAAGTTAAAAATCATATGATCATA